AGAGACTCTGGGACACCTTATCAGGAGGGATGGCACTCGGGCAGTGAGCCCAGCTGAGTGAGTTACTAAGCACCTCAGAGCAGAGTCCTAAGTGGCTGTGACTCAGAACAGGAAACCTGTGATGAGGAGGTTCCGTGGAGCAAGGCAGCCAGAAGTGAGGGTCCAGAGAGAGGTTCCAGAGCAGTGGGGGTCATGAGGTGGCCTGGCACCTTCGGGGTATGGGGATGACGATGAGGAGGCCACTGAAGGTAAGCTCATCTGCCTTTGAGTTCAGTCTAGGGCTCCTGGGACCTCACGAGCCTGGGAAGGAGAGGACAGGGGCGCCCCATGGAAGAAGCACGTGACGGGCGCCTGCCTCTGGGCTCACAGCCCGGGATCTATCGGCAGCGGCTCATAAGTGGCCAGGCTGGGTGCACGGGGACCGCACAGCCTGTTCCCCGGAGCTCGGAACGGCCTGCTCAGAGGCAGTGTCCACTCCCAGGCTGTGTCCTGCCCTTCAGGAAGAACCTTTTCCTGTGCAGTCTCCCCCAAGCTGTAAACGTTCTCCCCAGGAGCTCAAGAAGACCGTCTAAAAAATATCACTGAGTACTAGCTGGAGCCAGGCGCTGAGCCAGGCCCCAGGGAGGCAAGGAGATGGACCAGGTCTCTGTCCATATGGAGTCACTTTCTAGGGGGGATATGATTTCACATAAAGCAATAGAATTTCAGGTGGTCAGATGTGTTACAGAAGACAGGCTCAGTCTCACATTCTGGAGGAACTTCGAGGGGGAGGAGAGATGACTCTAGATAGAATGGTCAGGAGAGGCCTCTTCGGGTGCCCCAGGAAAGTTATGTTGACCAAGAATTGGACCTAGAGCCCACCCAGGCCCTGCATGGTCTGTCCCAGAAGTGACCATGATGGCATGGAAGGCAAGCTGATTGTGCCCACTCTGCTGCTTTGCCCCAGGCAGAGCCCCCCAGTGGAAGCTTTAGGGAGGAGCTCCTGCCACCCGCCCTGCCCAGGGTGCCCTCTTCCCCACTGATCTCTCTAGAGCAATATCAAGACCACATCTCCCCACCCTCCCATACCCACACGAAGTCCAACTCCTCCTCAAAGCGATCCCTGGCCAAGCCCCCTTCTCCCCCACCCCGGGCTCTCTTCCCTATCCACTCATTTAACAAATACGACCTGGACCCTTAGTATGTCCCAGGCTCAGTACCAGACACTAGAGATTCCCAGACGAGGAACGCGTGGCCCCCGCCCCGGAAGCACCCACATTCTGGTGAAGGAAACCCATATGGAAGCCGTCAACCTGCAGGCAACCGCAGAACCGTTCTGGCCCTGACCCAAGGTGTTCCTTCATTTACCAACTCCCAGAACCGGTCTGTGTTCTTAGGTATGTGTGTATATACCTCTGCTTGGTCTTTTCAAGTTGATTGTAAGGGCTTTCCAGGGTAGCCTCGTGTCATACAAATGTCTGTATTTAGTACAGTGGATATACAGGAGGTACTCAGGAAATGCATGTTGAGTGAAGGAGCATCACCTCCACAACTCGAAGATGGTCCCATGCAATGAGGTCATTTCCTTCGCCAGGAACTGTTGTCAGAATATTCTTGAGGGTCTGGCTCTGCTGAGGAGCGAGGGACCGGAACCAGCTGGGCTGGGCAAGCCACTCTAAATCCCAGGGAGGTCTGCAGTGGCTACTGTGGAGCTGCGAAGCCAATAGAAATCATTGCCAGAAACAGAGAGAGGCAGGGAGTACTTTGGAAACACAGGAGAGTGATATTGGAGCTTCGACCTTCTCAGAACTTGTTTTCTTTTCCTCTGAAGGGGCCTCGACGTTTTTCTGAGGCCAAGCAGGGGCGGGAATGGAGCAGGGCTTCAGATCTGGCTCAGGAGTTTTCCACGTAGCTCTGAGGATGGAACTAAATTGTTAGGATTGAGTGTATGGGAGGAGGGGTGGGCGGGGAAGATGTTTTCTTATAGCCTAGCTGAGGCTAAGAATACTATGTTTTTAAGAAGCTATTTAAAAGAGATGGGAAGGAAGGAACAGTGAGTACGGATCTGCTAATGAGGTGGCGATGCCGCCTGGAGAGCAAGCAGGCCGTCATTCCACGGGGGCGCCACTAGGGGGAGTGGTGACCACCCCGCTGAAGGCCCGAACTGGAGAGAAGGCTTTTGATGGACTCCCTACCGGAAAGGCCGAGTCTGCAGCCCTGCTCTTTGGAAGGGGAAAGAGACTGAGAAGGAGACATACACACTGACCTAGCTGATCTGGTTCCTTTTAATGCCCGCTCCTTTGCCCCACATTATTTAAGACTTCTCAGCCACAGTGTGTCTACACATTCAGACGCATTTGGTCCAAGCCCCAATGCCAACCACTCTGATAAGTGGAAGCTGCTAGATTTGGGGCTAAGAATCTGCAGAATTGTATCTGGCTAAAGATAGCCCTCTACTGTAATATTTCATCCTCCTCAAAGTAGTCTCTGCCAGTCAGGGTCCATTTGTCTCCACCTTGCAGACTGTGCCCTCAAAGTCCAGGGCGGGTCCTCCTCTGACAGTTCTGTGGTCCCTTTGGGCTGCCAAAGGAGCACCTCAACCAACAAGCCACCAGATCCACACTCGGCTGTACCGAATGTGGTTTTCATAACTCTATAGCCAGGATGCAAAGTTACACACTATGCTAAAATGTGCAAAGAAAATACAGATTCTTCATTTCCTATGAAATCTTACCCCGCCAGGCAGCAAACAGGAAATAGGAAACTTTACATCTGAACTTGTCCATTATAACATCTCAGATTTAATAAAGAGTTTCCTTTAGCTTTTTATAAAGTGCCTTTAAGGAAAACACAGCCTGGACAAGGCCTTTCCTCCTCCTGTTCTAGTTCAAGGTCGCAGTTTGCGTTATAAAGTACCCGATCTGGTTTTAGTACGGGAGAGGGGGCCATCAGACTTACCAGGGACCTCGAATCCCAGTTGCCTGGGATCTCCTCAGAAGCTGTCTAGTGGCCTCGGAGGTGTGACTGGTCTCACCTGGTCCGTGGAATGTCATGCTGACACCCTCCAATGAGGGCCCTGATCCCAGCCATTTGCTTCCACCGGAGACTCCCCGAGTGTAGTGGTTTCTTCATCCAGACCCCAGGTGACATTCCCTCTGGCAGCAATAAATCCCCTCACCAGGGCCATGGGCAGAGGGGAGCTGATAAATGTTTTGTTTGTCGATAAATGTTTAGCATCTGGTTCTTGGAGGGTTAGGGGAAGGTGGGGAGAAGCCCTGCTCGTAGCATTTACCTGTTGCCATGGAGTAAATACTCCCTCGACGGCTAACAGCACGAGGCCACTAGCCTGGAACCGAGAAGAGACGTGCACAGTCAGCTGGCACGAGCTGGCACAAGCTGGCTCCAGCCCCCGCATCCCCTGGGCAGCTTCTGCAGGTCGTGCAACTTCGTCTCACTCAGCTTCTCCCTCTCAGCTGGCCCCATCATTACCTTCTGACCTCTTAGATGTGGCTGCAGCCAGAATTCCATCTAGGCTTATAGTCTCCACCACCAGGGTCCTGGGACGCCTGATTCCGGGGTGGATGTTAGCAAAGATGTGTGCTTCTGATGACTGCTCCATCTGTCTCCCCATCTTCTTCCCAGGATCCACTTGGGCCAAAAGTATCAGTCTTCCCATGCCTGTCATCTCTAGGAAGAACCTCACTTACGTCACATTCTTCTTATTCCCAGGGTCTAAGCCTCACAGTTATGTCTTAATGGCAGGAGAACTTTCCTTCTATAGAACAGAACCTATGTTCTGACATGATTCCTCCAATGAAAAAAACATCAGCTTAATACTCCCCAAATATTACCTCTGTCACAACTGTTTAATACGGGTGAGACAATATGCTAACTCTCTGTGTATACAATTTCATTTACTGTTCACCATAACCAGAAGGGGCTTTGTCCCCATTTTACAGATGAACTAATGGACTCAAAGAGGTTATTAACCTTCTTAAGGCAATTTAACTAGTAACTAGCAGAGGTGGGAATTAAACTCAGGTTGACCTCCAAACCTGTGCTCTTTACCTAATGCTAATTTGTGGAGACACAAACGTCCTCTTTGTTCTAAAGCTATTAGAAGACCCCTTGGATTGTACTGCGATTTTTCTAATAGGGAAGGAGGGGCATTGCCCAAGACATACAGCCATTAGACGTGCTCTCCTTTCTCTCTGTCAGGTCCAAGAAGTTTGTGGGAGAAGGATGCTGGCAGAAATGTGTCTCACCCACCACCCCCAGAAACTCAATACCCCTCCGTCCAGCTGCACTAGGGTAGCTAGGGCAGAGTGCCCAAGGAACCTAGTCCTTCCAACCCTCCCAGTCACTCCCCAAGAACATGCTTCTCTCTGGTAATCTTGACCTCAGAAAGGGCACCACCACCCTGGGACTTTCCTACCAGAAGCATGAGAGCCCATCTAGACGCCTCTTACCCCACCGTAGACATATCACCTAGTATCACACAATGCTCACTCATCTAGGTCCATGCGCTTAATCTGTAACAGGTAGGAGAGAGGTTCGGTAGCAATGACTGGGGGTTGGGAGAGGTGGCAGAGCTGGGTTAATAGAAAAGGAAGTTGGGCTGACTCAGCAATGTGAATAAACACCTTGGGGATCACCCAGTAACATAGGAAATGCCTTAGCTCAGCCCAGGTCCCGTCAGGGTGGATAATCCCATATGAATCTATACATGTACGTGTTACTGTCCTTAAATACATATATACAAAGTAGAGTTTCCACTGTAGGCTACATGTGAAACTCCCTGAATGTGTGGCAAGCACAGTAGGTAGAAGACACTCAATAAATTTGTAGTGATTTACAAAGCAGGTGGAGAGAATAGTCTTTTCTTTGCCAATTATCCAGGATTTGCTCTTCATCCTTCTAGCTGTTCCATGAAGGACGCATTTCCGATCCTTTTTACAAAGTACCTCATTCCATGTGAGAAACTCACTGATCAGACCCTCTCTTCCCTCCCTCGAACAAAGCATCCCCAGAAGCTTCAACTCTGGAGGCGATGGGTCGAAAGGAAGAAGATGACTGCAGCTCCTGGAAGAAACAAACCACCAACATCCGGAAGACCTTCATCTTCATGGAAGTGCTGGGCTCGTGAGTGCGGGGCTGGGCGGTGACGGGGTGGCTGGGGCCTCCTGGGCGCTGGAAAGGGGTTGTTCTAGGCCAGCAGGAACTGATAAATTGGGACATCATCTCAGCAGCTCCAGGGGACCTGGGGAGGTGGAGTAGCGGCCTCGTGATGGAGAGGAGGGAAGGTACCTAAGGACAGTACAGAGGAGAGTTTACTACACTGGAGCCCTCAGGGAAAACCAGCCCTTCCCCAGCTTCTACCTCCTGACCTGCCCCCAGGGACCTCTCCCCACTTCCATAGCTGCCACAGGCCTTGAGTTCTCATCCTGGTCGGAGGAAAGAGACTTTCTGGAGATTCAGTGACCCTAGAACTTTCCTGGGCCTCCTCACCCAGCCTCTTCATTTCCCTGAGCAATGCAAGGTCAACCCCACTGTCCACTATAGATGCAAGAAAACATGCTTTGGAGGCTAAGAGCGGGTGGGTTACACACACCGGGGTCAGCTCCCCACCCCACCACCGTCTCTGCTCGATGGTTAAGTGTCATATTGGAAAAATAAGAGGTCAGCTTCCTGGTGTCTGTGCCTGCCCTTTGACAATGAGGACACGGCTGGGGGAGCAGAGCTGGCTTGGCTGGAGCTAAGTCTCCACTTAGTCCTGCCTGTCCTCCGGGAGGGCACAGTCTCTGACGCAGCTGGCAGCGCCTCGGGGTCACCAACCCCCATCCCTCAGAACCCCAGCTGGTCAGCTCATTAGTCTGGGATCATGGGCCAGGGGCCTGGGGAAGTGGGCGCAGTTAGAGGGCTGTCCATTTAAGCCGGCTCTGCTGGGGCCAACCCAGGCCAAGTTTAGCTGCCTCTGTTTTGGCTAGGAGGCAGTGAGCTCAGGCCACGAGGCTGGACACACTCTTGCTGTAGGTGGAGAGGAGCCAGGCATGTCCTGAGAGGAGGCCTCTGGCCTTCCCTGCCCAGGCAGGGGTCGGGCTCGCGCACGCAGAAGGAGCCCAGCAGTGGTCCTGGTCATCAGAGCACTGGCCTCCCATCAGGAGCCTTTGCCAAGATGGGGGTGGCTAGAGAGGGGGTTTTTGGCACAAGAGAGAGGAACAAGACTCGTGCATGAATCAGAAGTGGTTTGCTAAGCAGCTCAAAAATCAAGAGAAGGAGGGAGAAGGAAGCCTGAGTTGGCAGAAGCTGATTCGCCATCTGCCCTAGACTTGTGCCCTGGGACTATCGGAAGACGACACACACGGAGCTCTGTGGGACCTGCCACCGCAGCTTCTGGGCCCAGGGGCACGGCAGAGCCACCTGGGAGCCCAGCCCTCCAGCTGGTCACTGTGAAAATGTTTCAGTGAAGAAAGGTGAAATAACAGGACAGTTGAACACCGACATACCCACCTCCTAAAGTCAACAGTTAACACTTCACTGTATTTGTTTTTCACACACACACACACACACATACACACTAACAATTTGTAAACTGGTTGCAAATGTCACCACACATCACTTCTGAATCCTTCTGTCTGCAGAATAAAGGCATTTTCTTCTATATCCACAATGCCATTTCAGACTAAAAAATAATAATAATAATTCGCTATTATTTTAGCCCAGATACTTTTTTTGAAAAATACAGATTTCTGGCCCAGGCCTACTACACTGGGATTTTGGAAGATAGGACCCAGCAGCCGGTAATCTACATTTTAAGTGCTTCTGGTGGCTCTAATGTACCCACACTGATTTGGGGGAACCAGGAGGACAAGGCAGGGTCAAGTCACGGTTCAGAAGTTAGGGCCGATGAGAAGCTAAAGAGAAGGCGCCTGTGTGGTGCTCAGGACGGGGACAGGAGGCCCAGGCCGCAGACCCCACGACGTACCCAGGGGAGGTGCGATGCAGAGGGAAGCGGTGGACAGAGCAGACGCCTCCATTGGGGATGCACCCAAACCCCAGCACAAAGACCTCTTCTCTCTCGTCCTCAGCTCCTTTGCAACAACGAGCTTTGGCTGAATCTGCCCAGATACCACCCAGGGCCCTGGGACAGCCGTAGCGACACAGCTAGTCCATAGCGGGATGTATGTCACCCACGTTCCAGGCCTCCTCCCTTCACTGCCCAGGAAGAGATTTCTCTCCTTGGTCCCTGTCCCCACCTTCAGCATCACCCAGGCTCCCAGCAGAAGTGAAGAGCTATTCAGAGCAGGAATTTCCAACCGAGTTCAATTGAAGCAATTCCTCCTGGTTGTGAAGGCTCTGCCTGTCTTGCCTTCTGACCTGAACAACCTTGACTGCTCAAAACCAGCTCTCTGCTCTGCATTCTGACAATCTGACAGATGGCACAATTATAAGTCTTCTAATCTCTCTCCTCTGTCCCTGCCCCCAACACACACATGCACACACACACATGCACACACACACATGCACACATGCACACACACATGCACACGCACACACTCAGTAGAAAGCAGCCCGAGGCAGAAGAGCAGTGACATTTCAGATGGCCACAACAGGTGCCCCTGACATATACCTTGATGGAAACAGCACCCCAGGAAGGCCTTCATTTGATCTCACCCCCCAGGAGGACTCAGCTTTGAAATCGGGGATCGTGCATGTGTGGTTGTAAAGGTACAGGTGAGGGAAGAGCCCAGGGTAGATCCTAAAATGTCCCAGCTGGAAGGAATAAGGGCACATGGTTCCACTCTCTCGTTTTAAGGATCAGGAGGGTGGAGTCTCACCCCGACCTGCTGCTCCCACCTTCGTGTTTTTTCTCTTGCTTCTTCCCCAACCTCACCTGAAACATCACTTTCAAGTGTACCTCCCCCCACTGGGCTAACTCTCATTCATTCCTGTAAACTGAGCTCAGGGCGTCCTTAAGTCAGACAGCCGTGAATTACATCCTCCTCGTGGTCACTTGGCACACATCAGGGGGAGAAATCGCCCTGTTCTCTTGCCCGCTGTCTGCTGGGGGAGATGTTGTAATAATTATTAGATGACAGATACTGTGCCTCCGAGATGAATGGCATCTGCGGGGACTGTGCAGTGCACAGCCTGTCCAACCAAAGCCGGGGCCATGTCTTAAGTCTCCACTTTCTGTGGTCTCACGATACCTCCTGCTGAAGCGTCTAGCTCTCACACTAGAGTCTCAGCTAGACCAACGCTGATCCCAGCGCCTACACAGAGAGATTCTGTCGGCACAGCAAGCACTCACTGAAGGTCTGACAACGTGGTTCAGGTTAAATATTAATCGCCTGTTTGTCTGAGTTCTTCACCAGTCTACAGGCAACCTCAGTGCAGAAACGTACCTCTTTATTGCCAGTGTCTGAGACTCAGCAGGTGCTCAATAAATCTTGATTAAAGGAACGAGTGAGTGAATGAATGACTAGACAAGCTCCGAAGGCTCTGATGAACTCCACTCCACGTGCAGCTGGGGGAGACGGGAAACCAAGTATTTTCTAATGTGGATTCTCAAAGTCCTTTCCCCAGCAGTACTGCCATTGGTCTTCATTCTAGAATATCCACGTGGCAGCGAGAGGCTGGCTCGGCTCTTTCTGCACTTAAACTTCCTCCTTTTGTTACTACTAGGTGTCCTCCCTAATGGCATTCAAATACCAATAACAACAATAACAATGATAATATCTAACACATGGAGTTTAATGGAGGTCAGGAATACTTTTAGGCAATTTTATTAACTCCTTTCATCTTGAAAACAACCGTATGAATCAGATCCTCCATATTCACACTTTGCAGATAAAGAAACTGGGTATATAGAAGTTGAGTGACTTGGCACCCAAAAAGCTGAAGTTCTAACATGGGCCAATCAGGCTCCAGCACCTCCTGCTAGCTAACTGCTGTCTGACGGCTTGATGTCCCCAGAGGACCCCCTTCAAGCCAAGAAGCCTGGAACCTGGGATCCTACACTGTGTTGTTATTGGGCTCCATCGTCTCTCGCTGGAGAAGCCGGCCCAGAGAGCTGGGTCCCTCTTCTGTTCTCACAGATGCTACTGAACGAGAGGAATGGTAGCCTTCCTGCCTCTGATAGCTGGTTCAGGGTCGTGATCAACATCTACCGCGGATACAGGAGTCTTTTCTCTCTCACTGTGTCTGAGCCTGAAAGTGCTACTTTCAACTGCCACTCTGGTGTGCCACACTGTGCCCCTGTGGGAGAAGTCAAGTAAACTGACCCTGCAGTGACCTCTCTTTCATGGATTTGCCAAGTGAAGAACGCTCCCCACAGTAAAGCAGAATCTCTGCGAGTCCTTCCCAAATTCTAGATCCCGGAAACAGCGCCTCCTAGTCCCTACGTCTGTAGTAGAGTCTTTTCTTTCCCCTGTGGTGGATGAGAAAAGAGCACAGTGCCATACCAGACAGAGAGGTTCTCCACCAGCAGCTCTTCAGGGGGTCACGGTGACCGTGGGAACTCTTCCTTCATTGACCCTTTGGTTTGGCCTCCAGCAATGTTCTCTGGGCAGCCGGCACTAATTGTTATCTCCCGTGTCTCCCGCACAGAGGTGCTTTTTCGGAAGTGTTCCTGGTGAAGCAGAGAGTCACCGGGAAGCTCTTCGCCCTGAAGTGCATCAAGAAGTCACCCGCCTTCCGGGACAGCAGCCTCGAGAATGAGATCGCTGTGTTGAAAAAGTGAGTGGGTCTTAGCGTTGGTCGACTGCAACTGTGGGATCACGTTTGCTTCACAAATTACCTCCCAGAAGGCCTGGGCTGGGTTTTTCACACCAAAAGGCATGGTTCCCTTTGATTGAGCTAACGGGTCAGTTTGATTAATCAGCTAAGTGGAGCCAGACAGCTGTCTTGGCTGAATTATTCTTTTCCAGCGAATTATCCCGTGAGCCAACTGGTAGCAGAGCTGGTTTGTGCGCATAAACCAGAGAGTAATTATCTTAAAGGAACAAAAATCAATTGCGGGCCAACCCTAGGGAGAATCCATAATTAAGGAAGCAGCATAAAACTTGGAAATTAACCTCAATTTGTTTCCAATCAAGTGTAGGGTTTGCACCCTAAGCATCATGATGGAGGCTACACTAATAATCCGTGTTTACAGAGCAGGACTCATACAACAAGCCCTGTGGGATTCCTTTGGTGTATCAGAAGTATAGTACGCATTAGGACCACAAGGATGAAGCCAACACATTCCTCACCCTCAGGAGCTTGTATTTTCTGGGCAGAGGTACTCATAACAAATTCTATTCCAAATAGATGTGACTCACACTAGCAGAAGGCAGGGTTTGAAGGAGATGGGCATTCATTTTGCCTACGTGTGTGTTTTTTTTAATGAGTATGGATTATTAGGTACATTTTCAAAGAAGAGGGACCTTGGTGGATGAATAACATTTTGTACAGGCACATAGGGCAATGGAGAAAGGGAAAGCAAATGGAGAATAGCATAAGCTCAAAGGTGGAGTCATGAAGGTGCAAGGGATGTTGGGGAAGATTGTAGGGGAAGCCCCTGACCTTGAAGTGAGCATTTTCAAAGGGACAGGAGGTGAAACTAACATGGTCAAGGGGGACCTGATTATAAAGGGTCTTGGACCTCATGATAAAGACTGTTGCCTTTATTCTGTGAGCAAAGCAAAGCCATCAGAGGATTTTAAGTAGGAAGCCACATATCAGATTTATATTTTAAAGCCATCCCTCTTCAGCATGGTGAGGATGGATGCCAGCCAAGAGGATGAAAGACCAATTTTAAGACTTTCTCAATAATCTAGGCAAGAGATGAGGATCAAAGCAAAGTAGCAGCAGGATCATGTAATGGCAAGAAGACTAAGTTGAGGAGGTATTTCAGCGAGAAAGTGATTGGGTTTGGGGTTAACTGGTAAAAATATAAAGGGGAAAAGCAGGAAAAATGACTCTGAGATTGAGTGATTTAGTGGACAGTAGCATCATTGCTTGGGATCGAAAACCAAAAGGATGTGTAGGCTTAGAGGAAATAGAAAGAAATTGATCAGAGCATATTAAATATAAGTATCCACCTATCTCTATGTGAAGGTGTCTGGTAGGATGTTGGCGATCTAGGTCTGGGTTCCAGGGAGATTAAAGCAGAGACAGAGACTCTAGACTCATTGAAAGCAAGGACTGTGGTGGTCTTTGTTATTATTGTATTGTATCATCAGTCCCTAAAGCACAGATACATAAACAGCTCAATAAACATGTGTTCAGTGAGTGAATCATCAACAAACTAACGTTGACTTTGTCAGCTTCCATGTATAATTGAATCCATCAGGTTGCCCCTGAAAGAGGTCTATATTTTTAGAAATGTCTTAAAGATGATAGGTACTATTAATTACGTGTTTACTATTTCCCAGGCACTGTATTAAGCATTTGACATGCATTTTTCTTTTAATGCTGATCTAACCCTCTAAGAGAGATGTTCTTCGGAGACCAGGAAAGTGAGGCTTAGAAGATATGAGTAAGCCAGCCAGTTACCCAATTAGTAAATGCCTGCGCTAGGTCTAAACTCAGACCCAACTGACTTAGAGTCTAAGGTCTTAACCCCCGCGTTGCGTAATACAGCTTCCTAGAGATTTTCCTCCTGGACAGCCCTGCACAGAATTGCTCATCGGAAGGCTGCGCCTCCAGCTAATATGATCACCCTGCTTGCCTCAGCCTCGAGTAGTCCAGACCAAGGTCACGCAGGACAGGGTTCTGAGAAACCCTGAGCCCTACTGACATTTCAGAACAGATACTTCTTTGCTGTGTTGGGGGCTGTCCTGTGCCTTGTAGGATGTTTAGCAGCATCTCTGCCTGTACCCACTGCACGCCTGTGGTGTTTCCCCCGTCCCCAGTCATGACAATAAAAATATGTCTCTAGCTGTCACCAAATGCCCCCTGAGGGACAAAATAGCCCCTGGTTGAGAATCACTGATCTAAGGCTTCCCACGGAACTGACCCGCCACATGAGCTTCTGCCTCCTCACAACATCCTGGAAAAATATTGCAACCCTTCCCCCATGATGACCCACGAGGGGCCTTGCTGGCCCGAGGCCCTCCTGCTGCTGTCCCTTTCCCTCGGGCAGTGTTTCTGAAAGAGACCTGGGTACCCATGTTGTAGACGAACCCAGTGGTCAGTGCTCCCTGAACCTCCCTGCGGTCGTTCAGCGTTCTCTTCTGATACACCTAGAGAGATCCCTCAGGTAACAATGAAATGTGTGTTCCCTGAAGGCAGAAGGATTGATTATCCGTTCAAAACTATGGGCTGAACACCATTCTGGGGACCTTCTCTGGGATTTCTCCGTGACTGCCTGTGTATTGTGAAGGCTTCACAGGGACCCTTTCTTCCTAAACGTTGTCATCAGGCGTCTCTAACGGAGATAAGTGTCCAGTTGGGCTGGGTCCGCATTCTTTGTCTGGACGACCTAGACCACGTGCCTCTCACCATGGCCCTTACGTTTCCCCAGGATCAAGCATGAAAACATCGTGACCCTGGAGGACATCTACGAGAGCACCACTCACTACTACCTGGTCATGCAGCTGTAAGTGAAGGTGACCCGCAGCCCCCACCGATGTCCCGTGGGGCCTCGGAGGCCTGGAGGGGGCTGACTGGTGGGGAGGGAGGGAGGACGATGAATAGACGAGCTCAGGAATGAGTTCAAGAGGATTTGAAATGCCAAGCGTCCTTTCGAGATCAGGATGCCTCTGAGCAGGGACATGTTCTATGTGGACTGAGGACTGCTTATGGTTTGTTTGTTTGTTTTTGTTAATCCTCCCCCGAGGATATTTTCCCATTGATTTTTTTTTTTTTTTTTTTAAAGATAGAATGGAAGAGAGGGAGGGAGAGAGCGAGAAACATTGATGTTAAAGAGACATATCGATTGGTTTCCTCCTGCACAACCCCAACCAGGGCTGGGGATCAAAACTGAAACCCAAGAAATCGAACCCAAGACCCTTTGGTCTGTGGGCCGATGCTCTAACCAACTGAGCCAAACCAGCCAGGGCCCGAGGGTAGATTACTGAGTTGGTATGTACCAGCACAGCCTTACTAGTTGTTAAAATATTTCCTACCAGGCAGCTGTGACCCCAGCCCATCCTCCCTCCTGCCCCGTCCCTCCCCCTCAGACTTTCTGGACCTCCCACCACCCTATAATTGAAAGGACAATGCCTGGCATGGCAGGGGCCTCCAGAACCCTTCTCTGGCACTGTGGCTTGAGTCCATTATGATCAGTCATGTTCAACAAACCGGATATTAAGTGTTACAACATCACTCCAGGGTAAATGACCATGGAAGTAGAAGCCACAGGTAGATAGATTTTAATTCAATATAAAGAAAGACTTTCTCAAAAGGGAGCCACCTAAAGTTAAAAATGGGCTGTGATTGTGAGTGCGTCCGTCCATGTGTGGGACTGAAAGTCGCCTGGTTACAAAGGTCTCCCCCTCACTGTCATGTCCAAATAAGAGTCCTTCCTGCCTGGGAGTGACTGCTGTCGGCTTGGTCAGTGCCCCCGGGGACTCGGCACTGGGCTCAGAGACTCTGCTTACCAGGTCCACACAGACACACAGACACACACCCACAGCCTGCAGCCTCACAGCTGGATACAATGATGTGACGGACAGCTCGTTCCGCAGAAACCCTAAGGCCTCCGCAGCCTATTAACCCCTGGGCTCACCTGAGGCTGGTGACTAGCCTAGCAAGCAGTCAAGGGCATAAGGTTGGGGGAGGGCCCAGAGTGTCACTAACAAGTGAGTGGGGACCAGGTGGCACCTTACAGAAGCCAGTTCATCAGGACTAGCACACTGTCCCCAGATGGCTAAGGGGAGGCAGGAAGGCAGGAAGATTCAGAAGTCACTGACGAATCACCAAGCCTCCTCGTAGCACCAGGATGCTACGCGTCAGGAATTCCTAGCTGTGGACGAAGAGTATCTTTCTCTCGTGGGCCTCCAGGCCCCTTTGCAGAGTCAAGAGTTTCAGGACAGAGACGAAGGGTGTCATGCATTTTTATTAGAGGAATCCTACACCCTCAGCATTGCATTGTCTTGGCACGTACGTGTAGCCGTGTCCGTGTCATAGGACAGTGGGAAGGGGATGGGAACCACCCCCCCTCGTAGTTGAAGTAGTCTGGGATGTTTATCCCTGAGAAGGCCTCAGAAGAGAATCTCACCGTCTGCACATATTCTAGAAGATTCCTGTGGAAGGGTGTTATTTTGTTCTGTGTGGCCCTAATGGTCCTGATGGTGGAGTTAAGTTCTGCTGATAGAACCTAAGGGAGTCGGGTTTCATCACGTAGCTAGAAATATTAGCGACAAAAGATAAAACAGTCTTAGGAGGCAGTGAGTTCTCTGCCAGTTCTTACTAGAAAACTTCTTGGCAAAAATAGGGTAGATGGTGTTGAAGAGACGGGGGTCAGACTTGATCTTAAAGCTCCCTCTGTCCTAAGATACCATACCAGGTGAGCCTCAAACTACCGCCCCATCTCCACCCCATGATTTCACCCTTCGGGAGCCCAGGGTTACAAACGGAGCCGAGAATTCCCGACAGGAGCACAGAAGCCTCGTTTGCACACCTCCTCGCCGCCCGATTACCGCTCCTGCTCTCCCTCCATCCTGTCTCCTTCCTGTGTCCTCAGCCAGGAAGGAGGCAGATGAGAAATGTGACCACGGAAAGGAATTACTGGCTTCCGGTGAAACACCGTGAGGCTGCTGAGGGCTGACCCCCAGCCCCCTTTCCTTTCTCCCATTGAGAGGAAACCTCAGCCCAGGTGTTGGTATCCCGCAGGCATAGTGCTGAGTTTGAATCGAAGGAACCCAGACCTGGGCCCTCAGATACACAAAATGGGCATTTTTCATTTGAAAGGACGTTCCCAGGGAGAGGTCAATGGTTGGCCCGAAGAAATGGCTCCCTAGCGATACCGCTCCAGGCACCCGAAGGAGGTGTTCTGAGACTGGAGGGACTAGTCCCCCTGCATAGTCAGGGAACCTGTCTTCTTTGCCACAGCGGTGTCCCCAGGGCTACAGAGCAAACAGTCACGTTCCTTTGACCTGAAGTAAGAGCTGGATTCCTGCCTTTGCCCTGTGCCCACAGAGTTTCTGGCGGGGAGCTCTTTGACCGGATCCTGGAGCGGGGTGTCTACACCGAGAAAGATGCCAGCCTGGTGATCCAGCAGGTCTTGTCGGCCGTGAAATACCTCCATGAGAATGGCATCGTCCACAGGGACTTAAAGGTGCCAGGGCGGAGCCCGTGTTGGGAGGGAGGGGCAGAGAACTGACCCTTTAGGAAGTGGCATGGGTCACGGGCAGTCTGAGCTCTGTAAAGTGAGAGGGCTGGACTGGTCCACTCCTAAGGCCTTTTCTGAACAGATCGTAGATGAATGAATAATCATTGTCAATTGGCACCTCAGCCTTTTCCTAATCTTTCACGAGGCCTCACCCTTTTTGGATACCAAGATAATCCACAGGTTTCTTGGACTGAGTCAGAGTAATAATCAAATGTAACAAATATTTATTGAGGGTCAACACTGCACCAGGCAAGCACGAGACTTTAGAGAGGTCAGAGACAGTTAACCAAGGGTTAAATTCCTTCAAAAAACAGTCTTAGGGTAGTTGGAAATGAGGGGAGGGAGGGATTAGTACATTAATTAGTACATTAAAGGCTATACAGCTAAGCAAAGTCAAAGCCATAAGCAAACTACAGCACACTGGGGTACAGGAGTTGAGGAGGCAGGTAGGAGGCAGGTAGGAGAGATGAGCCTGGCCTTGAAGTCAGCAGCTGCCTAAGAAATGATATGTTGGGGGCAAGGGGAAGCTGTGTCTTCCAGATGACTGTGTCCTCTGCTACGTGGTATTTCTCTTCTCCCACAGCCTGAAAACCTCCTGTACCTCACCCCCGAAGAGAACTCTAAGATCATGATCACAGATTTTGGTCTGTCCAAGATGGAACAGAGCGGTGTCATGTCCACTGCCTGTGGGACCCCAGGCTACGTTGGTGAGTCTGGGAGAAGGAGGATGACCAATGGGCTACATTTGACCACAAGGATGTTACTCACAGAGTAGGATGTTATTCACAGTTGTGAGGAGACAGGGTTCAACTTCAGGGATGATCCAAGTAGAGTAATCACTTATAAGGTTCAGGGTCAGCCAATCCATTGATCTCTAAACCGCCCCTACTGCTCCTAAGCCTACATCTTAAAGACAGCACCCCAACTTCCTGCCTTTGTCTTCCCAGCTAGACAAGGGGGAGAGACGAGATCACAAACCCAGACACCGTGAGACTGCTGAGGGGTTGACCTCCAGCCCCCTTTCCTTTCTCCCATTGAGAGGAAACCTCAGCCCAGGTGTTGGTATCCCGGAGGCATAGTGCTGAGTTTGAATCTAAGGAACCCAGACGTGGGCCCTCAAATACACGCCCTAGGAAACTGGCAGAGGTGAGGCCTCCTGTCTAAGCAGGAGGCGTCTAGAACCCCCCGGAAGTAAGAGCAGTCAAGATCCCAGGTGAGAGCTTCCTGAGACCTAGGGGGGAGAAAGCTGAGAGAGCATCCCCTCCTGCCCCTTCCCTCTTAGCCAGTCCTCTGGGTTGGGGTTAGGAAGTGGGATGTCGAACCTGACTCACTGGAGGGAATCGGCTCTCTCCCCAAAAGAGAGGTCTGTCACTTACCATTAGGTATTTAGTCCCATTGGGCACAAAGCCCTCGTGTCTATGATAAATACAAAGACAGGTAAGTGCCCCAGAGCTCCCACTCAATGGAAGACATAGTTCATTCCCTCACAGAGCTCACATTCGGGCAGACTAAGCCCCGCCCTCAGAAGGCACCAGAGACTGATGGGCCAGGTAGAGCCTGCCATCGGGAAATGAGGGGGGGGGGGGGGCAGGATTCCTCACTTAACAGGGGAGACTCATTCTCTACCTTCAGGGAGATCCTGGTCTAGTGGGAGAGAGACAGTCCCCAACTTGCAGATGTTCCCATCTCAAAGAGGACACATAGTCCCTGCCCTGGGGATCCCCCATCTGAGTGGGAGACACAGGGCCTGGCTTCAGAGAGTCCTCAGTCCAATGGGCAAGACATAGCCCTGGAAATCTCCAGTCTGATCAGGGAGTCATAGGCCCTGTCATGGGGCCTTCTAGGCTGATGGAAAAGACACAGTCCCTGCCCTGGGGGAGTTTTCAGACTCATAGAAGTCCTCTTCTCTAAGCCTCTTCCTGACCTCCGGTCCCCAACCCACAGCCCTCTCATCTTGCCCCCCTGACTCTGCCTTTGGTTTGTAGCTCCGGAAGTGTTAGCCCAGAAACCCTACAGCAAGGCTGTGGATTGCTGGTCCATTGGCGTCATCACTTACATACTGTGAGTAGAAGCTGTCATTGGCTCTGTTCCTTGGAAATCTCAGAACCTGCTCACCCCATCTTCTCCCCTCCCTTGTCTCAGCTCCTCAAGCAGCATCTACCTCCAAAGCATGTACGTGTACACGTGCGTGCACACACACACTCACACACATACACACACAACCCACTGCTCAACCACATGGTCGTCTGTCCTCCTGTACCCCACCCCCATTTACTGCATGTGTTGAGTCCTGCTCTGTGGAATGAGCAGTGAAAAGGGGAGAGGCCAAGCGAAGCTGGGAAGCCACGTGGGCACAATATTCACATCCCAGACTTTTCTCCTGGTGATCTCAGCCCGAGGCCAGACGATAGCCTGGAGGAACCGGTCACTGCCCCTCTCCACACACCCTCAGGCTCTCCTTTCCAAACCTGCTCATCACCCCTCCCCCATCCCTCATGGAAATCCCTCATGAAACTTACACTCAAGTGGCCATACTACCTTCTTTCTTAAAGACATTGTATATCATGTGAGTCAGGAGAATACAGGAAGAGGTGGTGATGGTTTGGGGGACTAAGGGGCCCCCCGGGGCTGCCTGTTCCAAGTTTTGGCTCCGACATGAACTCTTGGTGGGACCTGCGCTGCTCCTGAATCAGGGGCAGATCCATATCCTGGTCACACTGTTGATGGGGGACCCTTGTTGCCTGCCCGTGTACCCGCTGGGAGGCTGGGCAGAGGGGAGAGGCTGGCCAGGGAGGAAGGGGGAACAGCATGGCCCTTCCTGTTCCCCTGCAGGTTGTGCGGGTATCCTCCTTTCTACGAAGAAACCGAGTCTAAGCTTTTTGAGAAGATCAAGGAGGGTTACTATGAATTCGAGTCTCCGTTCTGGGATGACATTTCGGAGTCCGGTAAGGCCAGTGGGTGTGAAGGACAAGATAACAGGTTCAAGGCAGAGGCTGCCAAGAACAAAGAGCCTAACACACGATGACAGTCCTGGCTCTTGAAAGTCCCCAGGGAATCTTACAGAAAACAGGCTGCCAAGGAGAGTGGAGAAACCTTCATCTGGTTCAAAGGCCAAATACATTATTTGTCTCTAAGGTTCATGTTTTTGTTTTCCTGGAGACAGATCCACAGTCTGCCTGGTAAAAGCAGGTTAATAGGAAGGGCCGGGTGGGGGGGGGGGGCAGAGCCAGGCAGAGGGGAGTCTTCCAGCAGGACCAAGGCCACATTTTGCCATCTACACACCAAGACCGAGACCGTGCCGTGTCTCCGTGTGAAAAGCAATCACTGCGTGTTGTTGGATCCATTAAGCAGAGATCAGAGCTGGAAAAACCCGGCACTCACACGTGTGCCCAGGTGTGGGTGCTGGCCCCTGGATGGTGCAAGGGAGCTCCTGCGTGGCATGCAGGCACGTTGGTGCCGCGTGACGAGCGCTGTGTGTGCAGGGCTACGTGGGTGAGGCTGGGTAGAGCCTCTCTTTGATGCTTTATGGTGGGTTGTTGTTAGGTGGTTTGGATTTTTTTTTCTTCTCTTTTTAAGACTCTTAAAATTGCCTCTCTAGAAGATTAGCTAAAAGATGCATTCACTGCCACCCACCAGCCCGGAAGTGAATTTCCATCAGTCGTGAAATCTGGTCCTTAGCTGCTGTGTCTTTCATTGCTCCTCTTAGCCAAGGATTTCATCTGCCACTTGCTGGAGAAAGACCCGAGTGAGCGGTACACCTGTGAGAAGGCCTTGCGGCACCCCTGGTGAGTGAGGAGCGGGGGGTTCCACGTCCAGGGGCTCCCCGTACATCACGCTGACCTCTTCACATGTCTTTCCCTGGAGTCTGCTCGCCCTGAGCTGCTCACTGCTCTGACATGCCAGGAGCACAGACGTGTCATCAGGTCCAACTAGAGACGCAGACAGCCTTTGATAACGTGGGCTCTGACCCAAGGGTGGCAGCTGGGTTGTCTCGTCAAGTGCAGAGGTCAGAGGCAGCTCTGCCCTGTCCTTCAGAGCATCATCTTACTCTACCCTGGGGTCCAAATCTGTTCCGTTTGAGGTGATTTGAGAATAATCGCAGTTCATAAAGTAGGTAGATACAGTCCTGAAACACTGCCTTTCTCTTACTACACCCCTGCTCAAGAATTTTCCACCGCAATCCCAGAATCCGCCGTCTTTCCAGGCTTTCCCTCATCCGGCCTTCAACTTTATTTCCCAGGACTCCCAACACACCTTTTCTGTTCCAGAAAGACCTGAGGACTATACTTCTCTCCCTGCCTTCCCCTACCCCATACACCCAGCTCTTTCCAAATTACACCCTGGGTTATAGCGTTGCACCACCTAGAACGCCCTGCCTCTTGCCTTGTACGCAGCATCCTTCAGGACCCAGAGCAGGGCCTGCCCCTCCCTGGAGCCTCGGCTCCCGCAACAGGCAGACCTCCCATCTCTCGTTGTCAGTCACACAGCTTTCTGTGCGTCGCTCTCTCTCACGGCATGAAGCGCGGCTCCACACCTGCCGTCCGCCCCTCGGGACCGGGACCACATCTGTTACTTCTCTGGGTCCCTTAGTACCTAGCAAGCCCTGTGCACGTGGCAGGCGTCTGAGGACCGTTCGAGAGGAGTGAATGAGGGCTGAGGGGACAGGAAAAGGGCAGCCTCTTTGGGTGGCCTCACTGAGGAAGGCTTCCAGGAGGAGGTGGTTCTGAGCAAAGTTTTGAGCTAACGGATGGTGACAACCCAGTGCCCTCGGGCACCGGGGCCAGTAAACATTTTGTATAAAAAGCCAGGTAGTGAACACTTTCGGCTTCGCTGGCCATCCCGCGCTGTGGCGACTAGTCGATCTGCCTTGGGACACGGACCATACCTGAGTGAAGGGGCCCGTCTGTGTTCCAGGACGACCTTGTTTACAAAGCAGCAATGGGTAGATGCGGCCTACACACCAGAGTGAGCTGGTCCTGCTCCAAAGCGAGTTTTTGATTTTGTCAAAGCATAGGCCCCAGATGACCTTCCCGGGGGACAGAGGGGCTCTGAATCCAGCCCTTCCCATGCTGGGCCACCCTGTCCTTAGGCACTCCACTTGCCTTAACCTGCACCTACATGCACAGTCTCCTGCCCCACCCCTGGCTGAGTTCCCATAGCCGCCCGCTACCTAGGTGTCCCCTCTGCACCCCCAGGATTAATGGAAACACCGCCCTCCACCGGGACATCTACCCATCAGTCAGCCTTCAGATCCAGAAGAACTTTGCCAAGAGCAAGTGGAGGGTAAGCTGTCCTCCCCGGGAGGCTGGACTGGGCAGAGGCTGGTGGAGGGTTCCCAGCAGACACTGCGGCCACAGGGCAGAGGGCAGAGACGACCCGGCTGGTCTCGTGTGTCCGCAGCAAGCCTTCAACGCTGCGGCCGTGGTGCATCACATGCGGAAGCTGCACATGAACCTGCACAGTCCGGGCATCCGCCCCGAGCTGGAGAACAGGCCTCCTGTGACTAAAGCCTCCGAGGCCTCGAGACCCAGCTCCCCTGAGATCGCCATCACCGAGGCCCCCGCCCTGGACCAGAGCGTGGCACTCCCTGCCCTGACCCGGCTGCCCTGCCAGCATGGCCTCCGGCCTACAGCCCGTGGTGGCAGGTCCCTCAACTGCCTGGTCAACGGCTCCCTCCGCATCAGCAGCAGCCTGGTGCCCATGCAGCAGGGGCCCCTGGCCGTCGGGCCCTGTGGCTGCTGCTCCAGCTGCCTGAGCGTCGGGAGTAAAGGGAAGTCCTCTTACTGCTCTGAGCCCACGCTCCTCAGAAAGGCCAACAAAAAACAGTACGTATTTTCACCCAAAGAAAGAGGCCTCGCCCTCCTCGGCCTGGGTCTGAAAGAACTCAGGCAGCTCCATAGGGTGGGAAGAGCTCTGGATCAGGGGTCAAGGGAAACGCTGCCCTACTGCCCACTAGCTGGGTGACCACTGACAAATCAATGTCTCCGTCTCGATTTTGCTCATCTGTAAAATGGGCTCACTGAGTTATATTTACCTGCCCGGCCTGCCTCAAGGAGGTCCTATAAAAGTTTAGTGAAGCAACAGGAATTATAAACACCTGCAGAAACTGGGTGTCTGTGAATGATGAGCATTCGATTCCTTGACGTTCCAGGGCCTTGGGGTTTGCGGGGGAGGGGGTTTGGTTGTCCTGTTTGTTTTTTCTGCAAGTTCTTGTACTTTCTGAAGCTCATAAAGGAAAGGCCGAGTGGACACCACAGGCACAGAAACTATCTCAGCTCTTCTCCCTTCTTCGAATACATCATAGCCTGCGGCTTCATTTCCTTTCCAGGAACTTCAAATCCGAGGTCCTGGTGCCCGTCAAAGCCAACGGCAGCTCCCACTGCCGGGCGGGGCAGACTGGAGTCTGTCTCATTATGTGATCCCAGAGGCCGGGCCCGTGTCACTGCATTTCCAGGTGAGGGGACGCGAGGCAGGGGGGCCTCTGTCCCAGAAGGAAAGCCCCATCCCAGAGTCTAAATGATGGGGTCTGAGGGGCAGCCCCACCCCCATGCTGATCCCTTCCCTCTGCAGGAGAGCTGGTCAACTCCTCTGCCCTTCCGAACCTGGGGTCTGCCCTGCAGCAGGAGGAAGGGGAGCAAGCAGAGCAGGGACGGTTTCCGGTCAGAAGCAGCCGACTGCCTCTCCCTGGGGCAGACCCTCACCGAAGGCCCGGGCGTGAGCCTCCAGGCGACAAGGCCTCACCAAAGCTGTGGGCAGGAGGAATGGCACCCGCGGCTTCCAGGCCTCCCTGACCTGCTGCTCTGTGCCCTACACCCCACGTGCCGTGGCTCTGTGCAGTGTGCGTAGGTAGCTCTTGCCCAGGTCTGTGTTGTTTGTTGTGAAAAGCTTAACGGGCTGGCCAGGCTGTGTCACCTTCAGAGCAAAGCCATAAGGAACATCTGCCCGGACTCCCTGCTCAGCTCACATCCGCTCCTGCCTCTCGGGCCTCCATCCTCTTGGCCAGGACGGGCTCATCCATGTAGCCACCTGCCCACCCGCATGAATGACAGGCAGCTCCGCAGTCTGCCTGTGAGCTCTCAAAGTTTGGACTTTTAACTCCAGTGTTAGCTCTTAACCGTGCGGAGACCTCCAGCTTCCTCCGGCCACTCCTGAGCCACCTCCTCCCCCCCCCCCCCGCCCCGTCCCCATCCCCGTCCCCATCCAAAGGCACTGCCACGCCCTCCGAGATGCTAAAGGAAGAAATCCAGGACTACGTACTGTAAGGAGTCAGTATCCTGACCAGGTGCCCTCCGCACACCCACCCCTTTAAGTATAAATTGGAAGTCCACTGTTTTCATTTCAGCCAGTCATTCGAATCCTGCCTCTGCTCCCGCCCCTCCCTGAAAGGCAGGCAGGTGCATCGCTCCTGCCCCTCCCCCGTTCTCTTGCCTCCCGACCCCCTTTCAGCTTCATGCTCAGTGTTGTGCTCAATAAAATGGACATATTTTTCTCTATGAGGCTTCATTTGGTTCTTCCCAGAGTCAGAGCAGCTCCGGGGCTTGTGAGCGCGTGTGGAGTGGAACCCAGCGAACGTGGACGGGGAGCGCGGGGGGTGCCAGGGACCCAGCCACAGGAGTTACACGTACTGACAGTTACTCCTCACAGTGACCCCTTGGAGCGCAGTGGGCCAGCTCCAGCGTCCCTTCTCCTAAGGACTGTGTTAGATGAGCATGAAAGTGAGACCCTGCCCTGCCACATCTGTGACCTTGGGGGAAGTTATGCCACCCTTTGTGCTGCCTTGGTTTGCTCACTGGTCAGATGAGGACAACAGCGCCACCTACAGCATGAAATCGTGCAGACCATGAGTCCAGCACAGTGTCAATAAATAATACGAGTAACGATGGAGACGTTCGTGTAGATCAATGTCTAGCACAGTGCCTGGGTTCTGGCAGCACACAGATGCTCTTGCCATTCCCACATCCACCCAGGCACACACACTCACACACACACACACACACAAATACACATTTGTTACAACTTCGGTTTGAGATCCCAAAGCTGTGTGAATTTGGACACCTCGCTTCCCTTCTCTGGATTTCTATTTTCTCACCTGTAGACACGAAACTAGATCATTGTTCAAAGATGAAACAGCTCCTCTGGTCTTTCGAGGACGGAATCCGTCAGGTCCTGGGGCAGAGGGCCGAGTGTCCCTAAGCTTGGGTGATGAGCACGTTGGACTGAGCAGAGCGGGGCAGCCGATGCCCCACTTGGGAGCAGAAACAGTGATGAAGGTTTACTCAATGGGAGGCAGACTAGTTTCCCTCTTTGAACCTCCAGGCTCCTTTCCAAAGAGTTTTATTGGGGTTTTTCACTTGTACATTATTTGGGTTAAGTTTTTGTGTTGGTCCTAGATTCAACCTTAATGGAGAACAAAGAGCGAGAACACTGCCCATCAAGCTCCCTCTTCAGAGCTCCAGGTCACGATGACATGGCTCACCTCCACCACCTCTGTCCCTCCAGTGTGATTGCCCCATCAACTCAGGCTCAGCTGCAACCCAGAGTACCCTTAATAGCTGCACACAGGGGTGGTCCGGGCAGTGCTTTCTGCTGCGTAAAAGGAGCTGGACAGCATTCCAAACCAGGCTGCCCCCCAAAGCGAAGAGGGCAGAGGGGCTGGCAGCTGGAGCGTCACTTGCAGGTGGCGTAGTAGAGCACCCGCTCATTGATGTGGTCGCGGATCCGCTCCACGTGCTTCTCCAGCCCCGTCAGGTCGGCCGAGCGGAGCATGACGGCCTGGCTCCCCTGCAGCAGCTCCGACTCCATGTCTGAGGGCAGATGCAACAGCAGGGGGAGGGGGGGCTGGTGAGAGCCCCGGAGACTCCCAACCCGCCCTGCAGGAGTCACCTCTAGGGGAGCCTCCTCACGGGCAGCCCTCCCCAGCCCTGTCCCACTATTAGAGAAACAATGTGGCAGAGGCCAGACCCAAGAAGCCCTCACCCCAACCATCCCATGGCCCCTACCCTTCTCTGCGCTAGGCTCCCTCTGCTCCCCCAGCCTCATGAGGGAGGCCCCCGGCACCCAGATTACTAACCTACTGCTACTGGACCCAGACAGCGGCCATCCCAGCAGTGATCCTCAAGGGGGCACCACGAAGAGCTGGCTGGGTGACAGCATTCCTCCCCATTTTCCTTCCCCAAAATGCCACTCCAGATACCTCTAGTCCTCTCCCTCCAGTCCCGTCTGCAAACCACCACCAGACTGCATGGAGGATCTGAAGCCTGCCCCCCCTGTCCCCCTAGGCAGGAGGCCCCTCTACCACGTGCATGAGAGCCGGGACCCAGCCCCAGACTGAACATTTCCAGGAAGGGGGCGGAGCGCACTGCCCCCAAGGCTCCGACTTTAGACGCTCCAGTTAGGTCTTCTCACTGAGTCAGAATCTGTCCACCTCCTGCCTATACCCACGTGCCCCAGGTCTATCCCCTGGGGGCATAGGAATTGTTTGCTCTGTCCCCCACATTGCAGTCCTTCAAATGTCTCAGGCTCATCTTTCCCAGATTCAACCTCCTTAACGCCTTCATCCATTCCTTATTTGATGCACTCATTGAGCCCTTCCCTACCTCCCAACCCTGGTCACTCTCCCCCGAGGTCTGGTTTGCCAATATCCCTTCTGAAGGTGTAGCAGCCACCACTGAACACCACCCCCCAGGTGAGATCCTATCAGCAGAGTGTAACAGGTTGTTACTGAGCTGGCATTCAGCCAGTGGGCACACAGATGGACCTCCGGGTTGATAAAATATTGAAATTGTAACAGTTGCTGGTCTGTTCCCAGCCCCCACCCTTAGCGCCCCCTGTGCACGATCATCCCATAATTCTGCAGTTAAAGGTAAACTCCTGCAAGCAGCTGAGCAGCTGTTCCGAGGCTACGACCTGAGCTCCTTCTGATTGGGAAGTGCATAACGCACCAGTTCCTAAATATTGTTAATATCATCCCTGAGCAATTACTCCCTTATTTTGGCTGCTTTATATGTATTCGCTCTTTGGGCAGTTGCAAGACACTTATATCGAGCTTACAGTTACTCAAAACTCGAGTCATTTTCAGGTGAGTAATAACTCGCATTTGCTTTTCACTTACTGGTTACAGTGTTTTCACTACGTAGCCACTTGAACGCCAGGCCTCCCCTGAGCCGTACCTGCGGGTTGAGGCCCAAACGAGGCCCGCATGGAAGATCATTGTTCTTATTTAATCTCAGAGTGTTCCAGCCCATCCTTTTAGGCTCCTGAGATTGCCTTAGAATACGGGTCCTCTTACGTAGTGCATTGACTGTCTGTTGCACACAGATTTGATAAGCATGTTCTTTGTCTTCATATGCAGCATCGATGGACAGGGCCGGGCAGCCACTGACCCAACCCCTGGGTCCCCCCATCAAGATCAAGTCCTCTCGCCTCACCCTTCAGGTCTGGCTGGTCACAGCTTCGTGTCTACTCACTGTTGACTCAACAGCCCAACCTTCTCCATAGTATCCACCTAGTTAGCCAGACAGATTTTTGTCTGTTTCTCTGAAATTCGGAGAAAGTCTGTCTGAGGCATTCACCAGCAAACCGTCACCGTCAGACACCAAGGCTGGTCTCTGGAAACCCCTGTTCTCCTTGCTGAGACGCTCAGAACCCTTTCGAAAGCTCCTCTCATTACACCTCTGCCATATTCTAAATGCGCGAATGGTCCCCTAGCGCCTCCGGAGCTGAGTCTCCCTCCCGTCCGGGCATGGAGCCAGGCGCTCGGACCCAGCTGCGCCGACCCCTTCTCTCCGCTGCCTTCTGAGCCCCATCAGCCCCCTCTCCTGCTGGCTGCTCCTGCCCATCCTCAGGACCCGGCTCCCTGTCTTGAGATCCCTCCCTTTCTCCACAGCCTCTCCCCGGTCTACACCTCCTTCAGGCCCCTGTCTAATCTAACCTCTTCTGAATATTCCCTCCACTGAACATTTCTCCCTGACACTGTTTAGTCCCTGAACCCCCAGACCTCTCATTATTTGGGATACTATCACAGACCCCCTTATGCTGTTAAATCCTGGGTTATGCGTCTCCTGAAGAACAGGAAGAATGGCTAAATCCGGATTGCAAGCCCCCTGCAAACAGGCCACGTCCTGTGCACGTCTCCACATTGCGCACAGCCCCATCGCCGTGGCCCATCTTACTGGGTGCCCGGGCACTCTGGACCGCCCCCGCCCCCTCAGCACTGCCAGTGCCCACCAGCCCCGGCGTGGGACCAGCCTTCAGGGTCACCCGGACCGTGCCCTCACCTCTCATCCTGTCCATCATCTCCACGGTCTCCCCGAACAGCTCCTCTGCCTCTGCCTGGACGTTCTGGATGCGGATGCCCAGCTCCCCCGGCATGGAGCTGTGCCCCAGCCGGTCCTTCAGTTCAGCGTATTTTTGCTTCATTCTCTCAAATCCCTGTAAAAGGTAGAACAGTGTCTGTCACCATCATCATCCCATCATCATCGTCCAAAGCCCTAAAGCCCTGGATGTCACCCAAATGTCACCGAGGGATAAGGTGCCTGCCTCCTAATGTCCCCAGGGGAGTGGCTTTGCCTATAGAAAGACCCCCAGACCACACACTGTATCTTAAACTCCTGCAGGTCCCTCCCCTCATCGGTGGCTCCTGTCATCCCCCGCTCCCCTCCAGCACAGCATCCGGCACACAGCTGTCACTCAATAGTAAACTTGGCAGCGTGGCCATTGTACCAGGATGTAAGTGCTGACGTTCCTGGTATGCTGGGGACATTGAGAATGGCTCTTTGACCTCCTCTCCGGCCTAATTTCGATCACAGAGTGCCGGGGCTCTCGGATTAGGCTAAGTCAAGAGTGGGTGTCTGGCCGGGCAGCCGTGACGGGGGACAGACTCTGTATCGGGCATCAGGCCTGCTTTGTGGACGAGCTTTGCCTTGGACAAAGTTACCACTTAATCTGCAAAGAGATTGGGCTGGATGATTTCTAACGTGTCTGAACCAGCTACGACCGAGGCAGCCAGGGGTAGAATTCAGATGTCTGGCCAGATTTGGTGAACCCTGAAGCCCTCCTGGTTATTCTAGAGTAACTGTCACTCCACTTGCTTTTGAGCCCACGGCTCTATAAAGTGTACAAGTGTGCATCAGGGG